AACAACTTGAAAGCAGCGAGATGTGTAGCACACGAAGCAGTGCCTTCAAAGAGATTAAAGCCAGTTTCTTGATCGAAACATGATCAGAAAATCACCATGCACTATAGAATAATGCCTTAAAGTGCAATTAATATTGATTATTTTTATTATGTCCTCATATTTGTTTTTAAAAAAATTGTGAAAAACAGGCTGCTGGAAAGCGATGGATTAGGAATGTAAGGTCGGCAGCGTTTTGCCCCAAACCCGCTGCTTCCTAACGTGCTCCATCATGTGAGAGGAAGGAGCTGTGGTCATACTAGACTGCCTCTCAATTCTAGCTTTTGTCTATGGAGCTAGTTTCGTGGCAGAATACATTCTGAATGAGATTGGAAGTATTTATTAAAGTGTACTTTGCCTCAGATGGTTTATTGAGTTGACACGGATGTTGTGATCTATTCTCCCCTGTTGTGTTAAATTAAGAATACCCTCTAAACCCATCTGTCACTTTGCTTTTGAGAACCTGTCATCCCTCACAAACCTGTGCGTGCCGAAATGAAATGTGCCATCGTATTTATTTAAAGCTTTTTCAATTCTATAAAACTACAAACAACACTCACTAGAGCCTGTTTTTTTGTTTAGTCACAAGAATCCTTAAAGGGAGCAGCTCTGTGCCAGTTTTCTTAAGAGTCTTGTGTGTAAGCTGTACTTGAAACTACATCAAAAACACTCCTGTTAGGTTTTCTTTTCTTCTTTTTTTCCACTCAAGATCACATTAGTGTTTCTACTGGGATCAAAGGACCAAGAGATTCAGTGAAACTGTTGGCAAAATGACTGGTGAATAGCATTTTTTTGCTATTCATTCCCACTGAATTACATTTGGTCTCAATGGCAATTTGAATTTATGAATATGTGATATTCAAACTAGTTGATAAATTGTGAGGTGACTCCTTTTGCGTGTTAACTTTGTAAATAATGCTTGGTTAAAGGGACCAGTAAAAACTACTGATGAGGCAAAAGGGAAGTTGATTACTTGATATGAAGAAGAGGTTGGACTGTTGGGGATGGGGAAGGATTTTTCTAAATAAAATGACTGCTGGGATGATTGAAAGAATAAAAGACTAACCACAAACACACATGCCTTTTGTTTTACTCGCCTGCACAGCGCATTGTCAGAAATGAGGAAGAAGTTTTTTCGTTATATGAAATGCCAGGTGTAGCAAAAGGAGAAAAGTGTGAGCTGCTGCAGCTACACTAGGTGTGAATGTGTACTTTTTGTTGTTGTTGTTGTTGTCATGGTTTAAGCAACAACATGCATTTGACATTTGAACAACCAAAGACTGAAAAGCTGCTACTGCCTGTAATCCACACAGCTCACCTCTGCACTCATGGACTGCAGCATTCATAATAATTTGGCACCATCTACTGGTAGCAAATCAGTACTGACCGCTAATGGCAGGCGACAGAGAAGGATCTTGATTGCCGACTGTGGAAACAAAACCAAAATGATATTAAATGTTCTGGCTAATATCTAGTTTACTTTTCCACCCCCTCTCTGGGCTCACAAATGTACACAAGCAACAATATGTGGTTTGCTCTCTCTGTTCTCAATTCATGTTTCAGTAAATCTAGAATTATGTGAGAATGTCAATGAATGAGAGAAGAAGTCGATGCCTACACCCAATATTTTCTATTAGTTATTAATAGAAATTGATCCAGGTTGAATTTTATCAAAGGAAAGGCCAGCAAGATGCCATCGGCAAACTTTATTGTTCTATTTTTTTTCTATAGAAATTGTATTCACTCAGCCAGGTTTGCCTCCTGGAGCGACTTTTTGCCCCACAGCATAGAACCACTGCATTATATTTTCACTAAAAAAAAAACTATTGGTACTATATGTATGTTTTATCTAATTGCCGAGTCCTGTTGCAAAATGCTGGGTGAGACAGAGGGAGGAGAACAATTTAAAAAGGAGGTAGGAAACACATGACAGCTGAAATGTTCAGCATCACTTAAAAGTCCCTGTTTTTGAAAGAAAAGCACGTTTGTTTTAATATTATATAAAACTGTTCAGGAATTACAATTATTCATATAATCATTAATCACTAATTAGTTAGTGGGGTTAGATTAATTGGTCATTCTAAATTGCCATACTTGTGAAAGTGGGTGTGGAACCTGTGACAGACTGGCGCCCTGTCCAGGGTGCACCCTGCCTCTCGCCCTATGGTAGCTGAGGTAGGCTCCAGTCTCCCCGTGACCCTGAAAAGGATAAGCGGAAGAGAATAAGTATCAATAGTATATTATAATGGATGGATGGAGCATTAATCATAAGTTATTTTGAATTGGATATCTACATAGGCATGCAGAGTACATCTTTGGTAAGCATCTGCATTGGTGTATGGACGGTTTTTGATGTTTAGAGGCTGAATGATGACAATGGCCCAACAGATCTTATAATTATAGATGCAATAAATTTGGATATTCAAGAATCTGATGTATCACTAATATATCCTTGGACCTTCTTACTTAAGAAAAAAAACCTTTCCAAAGTACACTTATTCTAAGTATGTGGTATAAAAAAGCTAACAAAATAAAAGAATACTCCTTTAAGGTAACACAATATACACAATAAAGCTATAGGATGCAACAAAGATAGGCAACTTTTAGTGGTTCAGTGACAGCTGGGTGCTGTGTTTTCTTTTCTTTTAAAAATCCATTAGTCATTAGAAAACTCAGTCATGGTTCCTATGTTGTTTTTTCATCCACAGGTCCACGGGCATTTGTGTCACTTGGCTTTCATGACAAGATGTGTCGGTGAAAGGTTGACAAGGGTTTGGTTCAACTGAACAGATCTTGCATGATAAATCATGTGGTTGTTCCTATTGTATTCTAATGTACTGAATGAAAACAAGCCCACTTACTCCTACGCTTTAATGATTGATACATTCCCAAGATACACCCTACTATAATTTTATGAATAGCGTAATAATTAATGATCTGTCATAGACCTGAAAACAAGGTGTGACCACAAAAAGTGCAGATGAAATGACAAACTTTATTCAGTAAATTCATATTTTAAAATGTGGGATCATTAAAAGTAGCCTAGGGGGGGAGAGGAAGCCAGGATCCACACCAGTCCTATAGGAACACACCATGCTAAAAAGATGCCTCCCATGATATCACATGGGGTGGCTGTAGCTCGGGAAGGTTGGTGGTTTGATTCCTCCGGTCTTAAGTATCCTTGAATGAGATACTGAACCCCAACATTTTGTTCTCAGATGTGTTCACTGGAGTATGAATGTGTGGGAATGTTAGAAAGCAAAAAAATGCTTGGTTGAAGTTGTATAAAACGCTATGAGTGCTCAAGGATAGTAGGTAAGTGCTATCTAAGAATGATGCCATTTACCATCACTGCAAAATTTAAAAAGTAGAAATGTATATAATGTTGCACATAGTGAAGGCCCAAATGTCCCCGATTTCTCTCCTGCCCCTCCCTAGTAAAACACAAATGATTAAATAGCCTAGGCTTACTGGGTGATCAACAATACAGTCAAGTTGGACCAGTTATGGTGAGGTCAGAGCTAATCCCAGTCACGTTACAGGAATCTCTGTTCAAGTCAGCCCAAAGGTGCAACTAATAAGTGTTTTAATTGCCTTTTTAATATTTGCACCTATTACAGTAGGCTATCTATTGCATGGAAAATGTTATCCATCATCTCGTCCTAAATGAGAACGCCCTCATTCATGCACTCACATGAATGTTGAGTCTCTGACAGACACGACAAGGGCAGTCTACCGTGGTATATTACAACACTCCGGCTGACTTGTTACCTTCCCGTGTCTCTTTGTGGTTTTCACAATATGGGTACTCGATCAAACAGTGCGCCACTCAAATTACCTTCTCGCCTCGAAAGATCGCCTTAATTATTTAGCATTTTAATTTGCTTAAACATACATTTTGTGTCAGATTTCATCTTTCGTGTCAAGAGTTTTCATATCGGTTTCATATGAGTGACAAGGGGCCTCATATGAATGAGAACGCAGAGATAAACGATTTTGAAGCTGAAGGTCACCGTAGTGCTGAAAAAATGTCACCGCAGCTGAAGGAAAATCTTTTTTAAAATTGCATTTTATTTTAAACAATGGCCTGCAGAAGATATTGGGCTTAAAATGTTTCATAACAAATAATATAAATAACTCACCTGTGTGACGTCACTCCCCTGTGATGACGATATATGTAAGTTAACTACTTGGCTCTGGCAGACGTTTTTTGGGGGTGCGGGGTATCTATTTAAAAAGATCACTTGGCTATAGAAATAAAATGACTGCTTCTCATAAACTTCATTTTTTCGGGCTTTCAAATTAAAAGCCTACAAACTATTACAACGCTTTGTGGCATAATATGAAGCAGTGGTGCCCTACAAACTCGAAAACTGAGAAATTAGCAGAACCAATTTATGACGATTAAAAAAATTTAAAGCGGAAGTGACTTATTTTACTTACAAGCTAGTGTACCCCTGGCAGTCATTTTACGAATTTTTGAAGTCTTCGAACAAAAATAATAATAATAATAATAATAATAATAATAATAATAATAATAATAATAATAATAATATCTGTGCAGTATTGTACGTGGCGTTATTCCGGGGTAGTTTGAAAGGGAACGGCGTTTTAATTTGATAACCGGAAACATAGTTGCTAATTCTGCTATTAAAAGTTGACTTGAACTTCTACTGCTGTTCACGTAAATGTCGTTAATCCCGGTTCCTCGATGGCACTTGATGAACCGGTTGGACACAAACTATATTCATAAGGACTTGACTGAGAACGGAATTTTTTTTTTTTTAAATTATAATATTTGATTTTCTCAGTGAGTGAAC